AGCCCTCTGTTAAAGAGTATTTATGTCTTTTATGTAATACCTAGGGTTTCCTAAGGTTTTCCTAACTCTTATTATAAATAGTGTGACAGTCTAACACAATTGTTAAGCCTTCTAATTCTTTTACTTTAACATGATGTCAAGCCTATCAACCATCTCTAGATATTAATAACATTAATCGAGGTGGAAGATAAATAGCTCTCCGCAAGAAATTTGAGCTATTTTGACACATTTGCTCCTCTGCATCAAAACTGGAAGTATATCTCGACAGCCAAACACCTTTTGAATACAGTCTGAATTCCATGATGCAAGGGCTTGCCAATGGAAGGCTGAAAATTGATCCCTCAAATGCTGAATGGGTGTTTATATGTGGAGACAAACCAACCCCAGGTGGATATTCGTTGAGCTGTTGTTGGAAAGGAAAACAATTCTTGTTAGTCAACTAAGAATATGAATCCAAGCAGAACTACAACACAATTCGAGGGAGTTTAGTTATTGTTAATTGATCCAGACATACATCCATAGAAGAATCAAATTTTTGAAACATTTTGATCCTACCAAGTACTGGAGACGGGCTGCGCCGGGGAGGGGGGGACCTGGACCCCCCAAATTTTTGACAAAATTTTTTTTTTAATTCTTTTTGTATTTACCATTACCATTTTGTCCTCGAATTGAATAAAAATCTTAAACCCTATCAATTTCATTTTTCGTTTCAGTCTTCAAAGTATGAACTCGAAAGGAACACTTGTAATAAGGTATGATTTTGCTAAATTAAACTCCTTTCACATAACATACTTTGAGCGGCTGGCTCCGCCCCCGACTAGAAACACAAAAGATGGATGATCACCTAAGTAATGATTTGTGTTAACTTTCCTTATCTGTAAGAGGGACGGGAAAAGAAAACTAAATATCAAATCAAATAATGCTCAAGGCTGATTCAATATTAAGTATTTCAGATAATGAATCAGAACTTACATCATAACGTAACTCGTACCTGTAATGCTGAACTCTTCTTTTGGCAAGATGTTACCATGTCTGACTATCCACCGCTGAAAGTAATTCCTGTAATATAAGGAATACATAATATAACAGAGTAAATATGTGGGTGTGTGAGAAGAACAAACTGGGTAAGAGCCCATATATTACACCAAAGATTATCCTTAACCTCCTCTTCTTTAGCAGTGACAAAGTCATGCACTAAGTAGACACCAGGAATGTTTAAATCTGAAGCTGATGTTGATACTGCATTAGTATCGTTGCCCTTAACCTAAAAAGAAAAACAGTCAATCAATAAAACGAACAAACAACAGGAACAACTACTAGAAGGAATAGGAAATCTTAAAAATCCACAAAAGTATAGCATCAAAATACACGAACTTCGAGTTCAACTATTAACTCTACTAACCCATAAATGGTTTGACTCATTTGATTCTCAATTGCTTGAAATCCATGGATAGAGAAAATTGAGTCACAAGAATCATAACCTAGATTGAGCTTAACTAAATATTCACCATTATCTGAGGATCACATATTTAATTCAAAGGTATGATTAGTTGAGGCAGAAGGTGAACTCATCAAATTACAAATGGATAGTCTAATGTAAATTGTATATTGAACTACTACGTCTGTTTTGAAACTATTAGAAAGAGATAGCTGAATATGAATAAAGCTTAATTGGTCCACGACTCCCACAGTAAATGCAACTTATACTGGAAATGTATTCAGTAAGACAATAAGTAATCATCCATGCGTTCGCAGTCATACACAATTGCCTCTTGAATTGTTGCTGACACTGTGGATGGATGAGCTCATTACAGAACCATATCAAACCTGTCTTAATTTGCAGTAACCTATACTTATAAAATATGTAAAATCACAGGTAGTACAAAGTCACACTTGCCCAGTGATTGTGCAGAATAACGAATGTGCAACGAACGACCTCCAAGATCGGAACATGGGTGCCCATCTAATTCCTTCAGCGCTGCTTGTGTACTACTTTCCTCTTGATAGGAGACAATAACATGAGTTCCACTCTCATCTACAGCATAAACTCCCTTAACTTCGCCATAGGTACCAAACTCGGATATGATAGTGTCGATGAAAGTCCAACTGCAGGCCCACAGTTAGCCACATAGAGGTTGGGACTTGACTCGCCATCCCTTCCCTTGGGACGTATAAATCTCGGCAAGCCGATGATTCAAATTTTGTATTGAAAAGAAAAAGGGCATTAAATGTTTCATTGGCCACTGAACTTTGAACCATGTCACGGTTTATTCACCGAACTTCATTAATTATCTCAGTGACCACTGAACTTCGCTCCATCCAACTCCATCACCCATTCGATAAAAATCGTTAATAGACGTGCTAATGTGGCAGACGAAAAAATGATGTGGCCGGTTAACTCCTTCAAAATTTGCCAACTCAAGTTCCACGTCAGCAAAGGCACATCCAAACACGGCTTTACCAATTTTATTTCACACGAATTTACAAAGTCATAACCCAATTAGCTTGAAGTCTCTCCTCTCAAATCAATTGCTCCCATCAGCGAAGAACCCTAAGTGTCTGAACCAAGAACCTCCCAAGATCTCTCAAACCCTAACATCCTGAAATCTATTCTCCCAAATCTCACACGATTCTGAAACCCATTAAATTCGTTAGGGTAATTTTCACCGTACACCGTGGTATCCCAAATCAGGTCGTATAATTTTTGTGTGAGCTTCAAATTCATCTACAGATAAAAAGGTAATTTTTGTTCCTGTTTGTTGTAAAATTGTTCCTATGGTAATACACAAATTGATTTTTGAATTTAAAATTGATTTTGTACGTAACTCATTTTATTTTTTGCATGCATCTTCTTCTTTCAGATCAATGGTCAAGAAGATTTTACCATTACACTATCTTCTAGTCGTTAATGGAGGAAAAACATGTTTATACAATTCCTCCCCATAATCCAATTCAAGCTCATTTTTAAGCAGCAATTATTTTATTTTGTTATTTCAAACTAATGAATTTGGTTATTTAGCTAATAGAGTGAAAAAATTGCAGTAATTTTGTGAAAATTTTCTCCTTTTTGTCATTTGATTTTGATAGTGCATCTGCATACATTTTGTTGGATAATTGTTCCAAAACTTCACGAAACAGAATATCGAATTGAGTACCGAAAATGCAGAATAGATACCGTATTTGCAGTTGTTAGGGAATTATTGAGAGCAATTACCCAAGGCCCAAGCCCACACCATCAGGCCCAAGTGAGGTTACATCCCAAAATCAATTGATAATGTGTGGAGTAGCCCACTTGGGCTATATGGTGGATTTCTTTTCTTCTCCCAACCGATATGCGACTTCTTGTTTGCTCACAACAACCCTCCCCTCAAACGAAGGACCACATCATTGTGGCCTCCCCTCAAACCATAATCNTAAAAAGGCTAAATTGTTCTCTCAAATATGTAATAAAATTCAATTTTGAAACGTAAAATTAAAATCAATAATTCGAAGCGGTGAATCGTCGGAATTCCCTCAATTGGATTGGATCAATCATATCAATCATTCATTTTTATAACACAATTAGAGACTTTCATCCCGTCACTCTAATCGGAAGATATATCGTGAAAATCAATTTAATTTACAAATGTAATTCTAGAATTTAGACTTAAGACATATTCGCACAATTTTATTGGAATAAGATCAAAGATCGACTGTATACATCAAGCATAAGGTAGTAATCAATCCGCCAATAAATTGAAATTGAGATTAAAATTCAACAACTAGTTTAATCTAACGATAGAAAAAGCATATCTGGATCTATGAATGATATAATAATTGTTAAACCAATCTCAACAATAAATAATTGAAATTGAAACTCAATAAATAGTTTGATTGAACAATGGAAAAAGTATGACTGAATCCATGAAAAATCTTGTAAATATTAAACTGATTTCAATATAAATTCAAGAGAATGAAAATCTAAATTCTAGCATTGTTTGACAATGAAAAGATCAAATTAAATGAATAAAAGACATGAAATCACCAATTTCAATCGAGTTCCTTCGTAACTTCACCAAGGGTTTTAGTTCTCGATAAGTTTCTTGAACCAAAGAGGAGAAATTGGATGAAAATCAAATCCAAGTCAAATTGGTTTCCAAAAGAGTTCTAATCGAATAAGGAAAGTTGCTTTCACGCTCGGATTTTTCGTCTCTGCATAGCAGTCAGTAATTTGATTATAACTTTCTCTTCTGATATCCGATTTAGATGATTCAAGATGTGTTGGAAATATAACTTAAAGATCTACAACTTTGTTAGAAATATCTCTTTTCCAATTCGGACTTTTACTATGCCAAAAATGGGTCGCAATTTTTGGCTAAAAATCTGGAGTATATCTTGTGCGAATTGGAAATTGATTTTGGATAATATTTCATTCCTTTTTGACTTCTAATTGCTTCCAATCGACCCTTAGCACTCTCGAACCTTCATCGTGAGCCCCGACATAATTTTTGAGTATTTGCACTTTAGTCTTTGAACTTTCACTTTCTTCCATTCTGGTCATTTTCATTTGTTTCTCCTTATTTCCGCTATATTCATCACTTGTCCTGCAAAACATGAATTGCATAGAATTAAGCTATATTCCAACATATTAATCAACAATTGCTCATGTTTTGACAGTAAAATAAGTATGTAAAACGTACTTATCACGCCCACACACAAGTTCAAGGTCCGATGCCTATTTCGGTCCGTGAATACACCCCCCATTCCCGCGCACGTGGAGAGAGCCTCTATACTATTGATGATTACACCATTCTAAAGTGAATCCTTTATAAAGTGGTTTTAGTTTTTATTCACTTCCTATGTGGGACAAACTTAGTTTTTTAGTTTTCCTACCAACATAAACTCCTTTCACATGGCATACTTTGAGTTTCAATTTCTCATTCACCCTAACATCATTTTTGACAAGTATATGATTTCGATGTACTCACGGAGGAGAACACAAATCAACTTTCATCTTCCAAAATAACCAAATGGGTCCCGCTCAAAATTCATGCCAAAGTCACCTACAAACTCAATTTTTTAATCACGCATCTACTCATCAACATTTCTTAAAATACACGTTTCCAACACATGTTAACTGGAATTTTTTTATTGAGTGGGTCTATGTATTGCCAATGTGATTAGCGTACCTCCATGTCCCCCAATTGATGTTTGGGTGAGTAGTAAGCACAAATGTTAACTGCGATTTTTGTACTGAATGATAATTTTATTGTTCGTGGCTGCAATAGCAGATTTCCATAGCAGGGAAGAATTAGCGCATTTGTCATAGCAGTAGAAGACGCTTGAAGATTTATCCCGTTTATTGAAGAGTTTGGTTCAAATAAACGAACAAGAGGAAGTGGAAATCTCATTCAATGTTACGATCCTCAAGTTTAAAGGTCGTATAGATGAGAACAAGAAACCCAAGAGGAAAGCTTCATGAAATTAGACCGCATACGCTGTTGATTAAAAAAATGTTATCTTATTCGACAGGTTTTTTCCAATGTTATCGTATTCGTCAAGTTGGACCAATGTTATTGTATTCGTCAAGTGTTTTTTATTTCTGCTGTTGTATGCATTTGTCACTCGAGTTTGAACATTGTGTACTTTAACATAATGTTAGTGTGTTAATCACTTTAACAATTCACAAATTCCAAGCTCGCAAACTGAATCTACATATACAGAGTGTTGGCGTTCTGAATCTAGCTATAGTGCAAATAATACCTTTCTGGCCAAGTTGCTGCATTCAATATGTCACGTTTGATTGTTAATATGCCATTGAATGTCATGTTTGATTGCCAATATGCCATAATATCTTTCTGGCTAGGTTGCTGCGCCAAATACAATTTTGGTCGGGCGAAACATGCTTATTCATTGGTCACATAAAAATACAATTTGTCCCCCTGTTTTTAATATTTGGGACGAGGAATGTTTAAGATGTTATTAAAAATAATGAACTTACAAGGCATAAATGGAGTGTTAAGGAAACGTCGTGTAACAAGTAAAAAATAATGTAAAGGGCAACAATTTAATGGTATCATTTATGGAGTCTGGACATCAAATATAACTCTGCTCTAACTCTGACTGCTTCCCTCCTTTGCCTGCCCCGAATAAAAAAAATACAACGTACCATCTCATTAAACGTATACTCTGAAAACGCGTAGGCTACAATTATAATAGCGTATTGACTTCTTTTCGTTAATGATATGTAGTTCTAAATATTTTTGAATTCTCATTTTTTACCCCACAAGAAAATGGTCTGGGTCCTCCCCTGCACCCAGTCCCACCCTGCCACCACACCCTATCACTCACTCCATGTCAATAATCTTCGTCCAAGGAGCATGTTTGAACAAAACCTCCACCCTTTTCACTGAAAAAATGTTAATGCATAGGAGTTGGAATTAGAAAGAAGCCTGGCATAAAATTGCTGAAAAGTTTTAAAGGACAAAAAGAACTTATAAAGAAAAATAAGTTATGAAATCTTCTACAATTTGAACCTAGTCCTTCAGAAACACAAGCCTCACACGAAAACCGAGCGGGACCATGCAAACAAATAGAATTGAATTTCCACTAATAGAATTTACCTAATAGGAAAGAAACGACTTGCTTGCTCCGACCAAAACCGTGCAAAAGAAAGAACAGCCAAATTAATTGCCTTGTTTTGCTTTTACTTCTACTTTCACATTTGCTTTTACTTTTAGTTTGCATATGAATCAAATTCTAAGACTTTGTTTTTACTCATTATTCTTTGCTTTTACTTTTACTTTTACTTTTGCTTTTGCTTTGTATATGAATCATTTTTTTTTTTAACATGGGCTGGGGACGCCCAGTCCAGTTCCCCCTACATCCGCCCCTCTAAATGATAAAGACCATAGTCTAGCCCTATTAAACCATGTAACATAATCCGAAGCGGTTTGTTTTTGTTCTATACCACCTGTATGAGCCCAATTGATGCCTCGCTCTAGCAGGTACTGTTGGAGAAAATAATATTTTTTCATATGGATCATTCATATTGGATCATCAAGAACTTATTAACTAAAAGCGAAAGCGTACCTGAATCAGATATGGTTATCGCAATAAACAAGTCCTGCGATTTTAGTCTTTCAAATCAACACGTTATTCCTTTGTTTCTCTCTAAAGATGGGAGTCAGAATAGAATGAACAGAACATGTGATCTGAGGACCATAACCGTATATTTATACTAACGGCCCATTGACCTAATTCGACCCATCATGAAATTAGGAACAAACCCGGTCTCTACACATATAAGCTCATACTTTAATTAGATACTTTAAAGCCCAAAATACTGAAACATTATTAGATCACTTTAAACGGGTTTAACCAAAATTGATAGCCTTTAATTTAATACACAACATTTCACATATAAACCCGCATGTTTGATTAAAAAATCCTTACAAGTGGAATAATTTTTTTGCTTTGATCAATTAAAAAATATATGTATAACTATGTTATATAAAATTTTCCAAAATCAGAGGAAAAATGGAAGAATATCTACAGATGGAAAAACGAAAGAATCATGGTAATAAAACAGGTTGAATAAGCAACCAAAGGATTTGTTTCGGAATTACCTTCATGTGAACATCCATATGCACGCCTTCAGAATGGTCAACGATGGCTTGTTTGTTCACAGACTTCATGACATAGAATGGAGGATTAGGGTTCATAGCTTCGCAACATAGAACAGAGAAATTTGGGTGAAATGGATTTCAAGTTAAGGGTTGGATTTGGGGAAAATGAATTTCACGATTAAGGGTTCGATTTGGGGATATGTAATTGGGAGATTCACGGTCACGAGTTCGTTATGGGGAAATTGATTTTTCATGCTTAAGGGTTTGGGTTTTACAATTCAAAGTCGTGTTTTCGTAATTGGTAAAACCATGTTTGGACATGTCTTTGTTGACATGGAAGCTGTGTTGGTAAACAACTTACCAATTGGAAGGAGTTAACCAGCCCGAAGAATATGGTTTACAAATTAAAGAAATCCATCTATGGGCTCAAGCAAGCTTCTCGTCAATGGTACTACAAATTTCATCAAGTAATTATCTCATTTGGTTTTGAGACAAATGCTGTTGATGATTGTATGTATCACAAGTTCAGTGGGAGTAAGCATATTTTCCTGATTTTGTATGTTGATGACATTAATCCATCTATGGGCTCAAGCAAGCTTCCCGTCAATGGTACTACAAATTTCATCAAGTAATTATCTCGTTTGGTTTTGAGACAAATGCTGTTGATGATTGTGTGTATCACAAGTTCAGTGGGAGTAAGCATATTTTCCTGATTTTGTATGTTGGTAACATATTGCTTGCCACTAATGATATAGGCTTGTTGCACTAAACTAAGAGATTTTTATCAAGGAATTTTGAGATGAAAGATCTTGGTGACGCCTCTTTTGTATTAGGAATTCAGGTACATCGAGATCGCTCTCGAGGTATTCTTAGATTGTTACAAAAGAGCTATATCGATAAAGTACTTAAGAGGTTTGACATGCAAGACTGTAAATCAGGTGACACCCCTGTCGTTAAGGGAGACAAAATAACCTTGAAGTTAAGGAAATACAAAAGATTTCCTATACATCAGATGTTGGGAGTCTTATGTATGCTCAATTTTGTATACGTCCAGATATAACATTCATTGTTCGAATGCTAGACAGATATTTGAGTAATCCTGGAATGAATAATTGGAAAGCAGCCAAAAGGGTTATGATGTATTTGAAGAGAACAAAGGATTAAATGCTCACCTATATCAGACCAAATCAGTTAGAGATCATAGAGTACTTCGATTCTAATTTTGCTGGATGCCAAGATAGTAGGAGATACAAATCAAGCTATATTTATCTGTTAGCTGGAGAAGTGCCAGCAGACACACATAACTTCTTTTACCATGGCAGCAGAATTTGTACCATGCTATGAGGCATCTAATCATGGACAGAGACATACCCAGCACTCAGCCGGGGGGCGACCGCGTGTGCCGGGCTCCGTTGGACCGTCGGAGCAGTTTGAGATTGCCGTCGAGTCACCAACAGCCGCCTGGTTCGCCTTCTTCCTCCAACCCTGGTGCAGTCCCTTTTTTGGGTTTGAGATTGGGCCAATTTGGCAGCCCAATATTTTTTTTGTAATTGGGCCAATAAGGCCCACCTTTGCTACCTATGTGTCTTTAAGTCTTATCTTCACTCCATTCCTCTCTGAAATCCGAATCCCCTACACATTAGAAGTCTAAATCTTCCACTGCCTTCCTTCAAGCTCCAACTCCATTTTGTATAATCATCACCACAATAATCACTACCAAGTATCTTTGCAGAATCTTCATAGACGAAACTATTTTCACCCCCACAAAGTGTTTAAAATGGTGTTCTTACTATTGATGAAAATAGAAGATAGAAAGAGATTTGAAAAAGGAAGAACGGTCTTGAAGAATCATCTTCACCCAAGAAAGAAAAAGAAGTCGACATCAGGCAGGAAATCGATGAAAATTTTGAAATTCGCTCTCTGGACACCATTTTTTATGATTATGTTGATTATGATATGAATTGGGTTTTATGACCTGATTTGAGCAATTTGTGACCTATTTCTGGTAATTTGTGATCGAAATAGCATTTTGTGACCTATATGAATTGGGTTTTATGACCTGATTTGGGCAATTAGTGACCTATTTTGGGTAATTTGTGACCTAAATAGCATTTTATGACCGAGTAATGTTTTATACAATGTTTTGGATATTTTGTGACCTCATTAGTATTTTGTGTTTTGGGCATGATCGGCTTTAGGTTTCGTGACTTAATTTTACCTTCACATGATTTGGATAATTTGTAACCTATTTCATCAGCTTGGATTCTTGATAAATGTGACAATATTTTGCTTTATTATTAAGTGTTGGTATGCTCTCTATTTATTGGTATACTGTCTTTTATGTAAGTTAGGTTTTATGACATTGCTCTAATAAATTTTGATAGCTTTTTGTAATGAAATGCGACCTGATTTAGATAGCATGTGACCTGAACTTGATAAGTGTGACATGTTTTGTTATATTATTACTTAATCGTTTACGTATATATCGAATAATTTTTAATATCATGTAATTAAATATTAATAAACAAACTCGTTTTTACGATCGCTGATTGATGACGTTGACTAGTCAACGTCCGCCCAGGCTGAACTTTGACGATGGGCCCGTCCCTAATCATAGAATATGGCTACGAAATTTTGTCACTGGGATGCACATTCTGAATGAAGTAGAAAGATCATTAAAGTTATATTATGACAATAACTCAGCAGTTCTATATTCTAATAACAATAGGAGCTCATCTAAGTTAAAACACATTGACATCAAGTTCCTGATTGTGAAGGAAAGAGTACAAAGTAGACAGATTACCATAGAACATATTGGAACAAACTCCATGATTGCGGATCCGCTTAATAAGGGATTGATATCCAAGATATTTCATGAACACACTGCTCATATGGGTGTTGTATATCAAGTTTTAGTGGGAGTTTNTATGTTCATTATTAATCCCATTTAAGAAATAAGGTTGGACCAGTTGGAAATAGACATGTTTGGATCACATAACATGTAATTTCCATGCTACACTGCCATGATTGATCTATATCATTTGGTTATATGGGTGTATGTGACCATTGATGGATTTAGTTACGTTAAATGTGACGAAAATCACTTTGATCCTATATCAATATGACTAATGGACGAGATTGTTTGGTAATACCCATAATAATGATAGCAAAATTTTGAGCTCATAAGGTTGTGTACATTTGTATGATTATATGTATGGCCT